AAGAAGGAAAATTGATGAAAGGAAAAGCTGCTAGTCCTCGGAGAAGTTTCAAAGTATTGAAAACCTCAAGCCAGACTAACCAGGAAATAAGAAGGAATTAACATCATTATAGATTTTATGAATATTAAAAAGATAATAATATTGTGAATAGTGTTATGCCAATAAAATCCACAATTTAAATAAAAGACACAGACCACACCTGCTGCCACTCAAGATACTATTCTTCTGTTTGGAGAAATACATACCTGAATAGTCCTAAATCTATTTAAAAATTTTGAAATTGCAGTTAAAAGTGTTCCACAGAGAATATTTCAGGAACACAGGGGTTCACTGTTAAAATATGTTGACTAATTAAGAAGGAAATGGTACCACTCAAACTCTCCTCCATAAAATTGAGATAGGTGGGATACTTCTCAAGTCCTGTGAGGCTATCGTAGAGTCTTAAGACCAGATAAAGGTGGCACGAGAAGACCACAGACCAGTGTCTTTCGTAAATATAGATGGAAATGTTCTAAAGGAATTTTAAAAGTTGGGGTCATTATTTTTAAAAAGGATAATATATTATGGCCAACTTTGGTTTGTTCCAGGAGTGCAAGACTGGGTTAATGTTCAAAAAACAATCTCTTCACTGTGTTAGGGCACAAAAAGAAAAAGCTGTGTGATCATTTCGGTAGACACAGAAAAAACAATTGACAGAATTTAACGTCATTTCCTAGCAAAAATACTGAGTAGGAAGTGAAGGGAATTTCCTCAGCCTGGTAAAGGGGATCTGAAAAACCAACAGCTGCTAACATTCTTCAATAGTCAAAGAAAAATGCTTTTACCATAAGAACAATAATTAGAACAAGATAAGTTGCCTTTCACTTCTGTTCAACCTTTATTAGAGGTTCTAAGCAATGCAATTTTTAAAAAGCAGTAAATGGAATTCAGATTGAAAAGGAAGAGGTAAGACCTCTGTTCTTCACAGATGACACTGATTATCTAAGAATTACTCCATGGAATCTGCAAAGGAGCTACTAGGACTAATAAGCATGTTTAGCAAGATTGCTAAGATAAAAGGTCAGTATGCAGGAATCACGGTGGACACACAAGAAGAAATTGGAATTAACAGTGCCATTAATAGCATCAAAAACATGAACTATTCCTTATGGGAACATATATTTCTATGAAATGTACATTTCATATAAGAGACACATGTAGAAAGTGTGTTGCTGAAAACTACTGATAAAGAGAAATAAAAAATACCTAAATAAGTGATGAGGTATACTGTATTTATTAGTGGAGAAACTCAACATTGATCCCATGTTAGTTTTCTCCAATTAATCTGTAGATTGGATATAATCCTGATAAAAATCCGAGCAGTCTTTTTTTTAGAAATTTGAACACTTTCTCTAAAATTTGCATGGAAATTTCAGAGGACCAAACAAAACTCAACTTTGAAAGAGGGCAATGTTGACTAATACTGCTTGATTTCAAAATGTATTATAGGGGGCTGGGGATTTAGCTCAGCAGCACAGCACCTGCCTGGCAAGCACAAGGTCATGAGTTCGATTGCCGGTACCGGAGAAAAACAAAACAAAACAAAAAAAATGTATTATAGGGCCGGGGATAGAGTTCAGTGGTGCAGCACCTGCCTGGCAGTTGCTAGGTCATGAGTTCAATTCCCAGTACCCCAAAAATGTCAAAATTTATTATAAAACTACAATAATCAAAACTGTAATATTGATGTCCAAATAATTTATGAAATGTAATGGAGGCCCACATACACTATGCCACATAGTTACAGACTACAGATTTTCAACAAAAGGATAGTTTTCTTCAACAAATAGTATTAAAACAGTTGGCTATCTATGTACAAAAGAAAAAGAATGTCAGACCATACTTGATACCATGTACAAAAAGGAATTCAGATGAAGCACAGACTAAATGGAAACCCTAATGTGAGAACTTCTAGGAGAAACCATTAAGGAAAATCTCTGTGGCCTTAAGATAAGAGAAAATTCCTTAGACATGCCTCCAAAGGAAGATCAAAGAGAGAACAAATTGATAAACTGGCACTGGCCAAAATTTAAAATGTGGGCTTTTCAGTAGATACTGTTAGGAGAATGAAAAGACAAGAAACATCATACAGTGTTTACCTGTTATTATGGCCTGTGTCTAGATGTCACCCAAAGCACCATGCAGCCACAGGTGGCGCTATTTCAGAGGTGGCTGGATCTAGAGTGTGTGATGCTGGAATGGATTCGCAGTCCAATGCTAGGCCCAAGGGCACAGGATTAAGGGTCTGAGTGCTACCTGTCCCTGAGTAGTCTGGAGAAGATAAAGGGGCAGAAAGATGATGGTAAGGTTGCTTTGCTACCTTCTGCCCACCATGAAATATTTTTCCTCTGTGATGCCTGTCTGCTGTGCCACTCTGCCTTGGAGCCAGCCATTTTCGGACTGAAACCTCTACAAACTGTGAGCTAAATAAACTTTTCCTATTCTAACTTTGGGTGTCATCGGATATTTTGACTCAGCAATACAAAATATAACTAAGATACATGTCATACATGTGAAAAAGACTTGTATCTAGAATATATAGATAACACTCAGAATTCCATAGTAAGAAAATAATGTTTAGAAATTAAAAGCAGTTGAGCTGTTTTTAAATGGGCAAAAGATTTGAACAGACTTAAATACCATCTTTAACCAGCTGGCAAATAAGTCCATGAACAGAAGGTAAGCATCAACACGCAATAATGAAATATAAATTAAAAGCACAGTATGTCACTGATACCTATTATAATTAATTGAATTAAAAAGACTGGCTCTCCCACAAGTTGGGGAGGATTTGAAAGAACTGCAACTTACGTACTTGGGGTGGGAATGTAAAAACTATATAACCACTTTTAAAAGTTGAGGCATTTCTTTTAAAAGTTAAGTACACACTTAGTATTGACCCAGCTATCCCTTCCATGGAAATGAATGGCTTGTCTGTTCAAAGTTTAGAGAAGAATTCATAATATCATGATGTAGGCGTCAAAAGCTAGAAACAACCCAAATATACATAAAGAAGTATATGCAAAAATACCTTGATAAAACGGGACACCATGCAGCAATAAAGCATAAAATATTAATAGCTGCAAAAAAATCTATGAATTTCAAAATGATTGGACTAAGTGAAAGAAGGCAGGCACAGTAAGTACACATTCTGTGTTATTCCACTTATATGAAATTTGAGGGAATACAGACGAATCGATAGAAATTGCATGAGTATGATCTGGTGGCGAGGGAAGAGTGGAGCGTGGGGAGAAGGGAAACGCGGGGGCTGCCGGAGTTCACTGTTCACTTGCTTGGCAGTGGTTTCATGTGTGTGGAAGTTGAAAGTCACCAGAGTACACACTGTGTCCGTGCTTTTGTCAGTCGTGTTTCAGTTAAGCTATCTGTAAGGACAAATAAGCAAGGGCAAGAAGAAAAAGCCTTTTTCCTGGCAATAGAAAGTTATGTATCACTTCCCCTAGTAAACAGTCCGGTTGAGTAAGTGACCAGCTTGTCTACCTGCTAACATGAGCAGGAGACTAAAGTATTAGCATGTATCACTGTTAATAAACACTGCTTCATAACAAAGACAGCAGATTTTTAGCTAACTTGAAAGGCAATTTCTATATTAGCTTCTCACTGTAATACTGAAGGTAATCAATTTAGACAAGGTTTAATTTGGTTCAGTTTTAGTGGTTTCAGTTCACGACTGATGGGCACCTTTTCTGCTTGGCCTGTGCAAGGCCACGCAGCATGGAGGAGCACGTGACAGAGTAGACCTCTTCACCTGATGGCCAGGAAGAAAAGAGACAGCGGGGCGAGGTCCCACAGTTCCCTTCCAGGACACACCCCAGAGCCAGCAGCCTCTGTCCAGGCCCCACATCCCAAGAGGACCGCGGTGGGAAATAAACCCTTATCACTCTCACCAAGAGGGAACACGTGGGGTCCAAACTGTCCCCCTTCCTTATTCATTATTCTTTGGATAATTGTAATATTTAGCAAATTATGTCGCGTTTATTCCTTTGCAGTGCTTCCCAGGGTCCACGGACTCTGTTGTTTAAATTTGATGTGTAATTTTTTAAACGAAGGATTAACTTTTTAATAGGATAAAAGTTGCATTAATATCACTTTCTAAATGGTTAAGGTAAATAAAGACCTTTCACAACCTGGAAGTTTTTCGGCATCATTCTACTGGTACAAAGTTTATAATATCTCTTTCATTACCTTCTTTGACTTCTTCGAGTCATCCTACTTTCTATTTTTGTTTAAAAGTTGTCTATATAAGGCTATTTCTAGTGACTTTAAATATTAAAGTGAATGTCCATATGACTGAGCTTAGAAATAAATAATTCCTGTAAATTCTTACTCAGAGTTCACATACACGTTTTCAAAATATATACTTAAAATTATTTCTAAGAGAAAGGTCCATAATCGAAGCTGGGATTATATGGAAATGCTGTGAAACATGAGGTAGTTGGGGTAAAATCTGTGTATGAAAGAGGGAGGAATCTTGAAATGCTTAACGTGCCTTTTTGCTTTCTGCAGAGCGTGTATAAATGTGATTTCCTGAACCTACAGCTCCAGCAGCCGCTCCAGCTCGCACAGGACGCTATAGATGCTTTTCTGAAGCAGCTGAAGAACCCTATTGATTCTCTGCCTGGCGAACTTTTCCATGTGGTGGTTTTCTCTCTCCTTCTTTCGTATTTTCCTTCACCCTACCAGCGATGGATTTGCTGCAAGAAAGCTCATGAATTACTAGTGTTAAATGGTTTATTACTGATCATCACGCCTGATTCTTCTCACCAGAACCGCCATGCTATGATGATGAAAAGCTGGAAGATCGCTATAGAGTCCCTGGGCTTTAAACGGTTCAAGTATTCAAAGTTTTCACACATGCATTTGATGGCATTTAGGAAGATCTCCCTAAAAACCACAAGTGACTTGGTTAGTAGGAACTACCCAGGGATGTTGTATATTCCTCAAGATTTCAACAGTGTGGAAGATGAGGAGTATTCTAACCCTTCGTGCTACGTTCGATCAGATATAGAAGATGAACAGCTGGCATACGGTTTCACAGAGCTTCCTGACGCCCCGTACGACTCAGATTCCGGAGAAAGTCAAGCCAGTTCTGTTCCTTTCTATGAGCTCGAGGATCCCATATTACTTCTAAGTTAATATGAAAGGAAAAGGCCCTTTCAGTCCAGACTCCGAAACTAATTGCTTACACTAATTGGAAATACTAACATGAACTCAGTACTTAAAACCTGGTTTGCATAGCAGAAATGCAAAGGTTTACAGAGTTTGCTATTTTTTTCTACTTCTGGATTTTACAATTTATTCTTATATAGAAAGCTTAAAGTTTCATGCAGAGTGACTCCTGTCGTAGCAGCAACCACTGTTACTTTAGCGTTTCACACTAAGACATAGAAAGGTACCTTCGTTTCTCTTTAGTGCTGTTGTGACAGTGAAGCATAATTCGCTGTGTATTTTTGTTTCCTTCAGTTGTTCATTGTGGACTTTAAGCTGTTGCAACGGGAAACTTTAAGAAATGTAGAGAGCTGTAGATTGCACTTTGTTGCCTCCTAAGTTGAATATGATACATAGGTTGGTTTAGTTGTTCGTGATGCACTTACCTTTGTCTCTTTTTCTAACTAAATTGTTATCTAATATGGAAAGCTGTTCTCCATTCAGTTTTGTCTGATGATCCAGTATTTCCTGACCTTTCTGGAATTGCTGATAACCCTTCTTCCTTTTCTTCTTCTATCCAGCTCATGTGGGAGCATCAGACTTTGGGGAAGATACTTCCCCCGAAGTATGTATTCTCCTTTCCTTAGCACAGTACAAGAAACACCATTGCCAGAGTGGTATTTTCATAACTTTCTTGTTGATTTGGGCCTTGGTGTTAAACATACTTATCTGTGAGAGTTCACTTTTACTTGTTTTAAAATTTAGGTTGCATTTACAAAATGTTCTATTTAAGCAAGGAACGATGTATAATACTCAATACTGACGGAAAACACCTTTGTGAAAGGGTTTGCACTTGTAAGAGAGTTTATGTTGTGTTGAGACCGACTTCCATAGGGTACCCACCTTTCCACTAAGGAGGTCTGCACTACAGGTTTGGAATTATATAGCAAAATTTAAAATTAACCCTCTGCTGAAAATCTCATGAAATGGTTTTGACCTTATGGTATTCTAATTTCTTTCTAAACCCTAGCAGAAAATTTTTCTTTGAATGTGTAAACCATCAGTTGGCTGTGGGAATTTTCCCTTTCCACGTTGATAAATGCCTTTCTATGTTTCTGAATCAGAAGCAGATGATTACGGAGAAACAGATGTCCAAACAAGACAAGTTTAAACTTCTAGAAACGTTTAGTCCATGTTGTCTTGTCAGCCAGCAATTGTCATGTATACTATCATTTTTAAGAGTGCCACTGTGTGGATTTTTTTTCAAGTGGTTAGTACATTAAACTTACCTCATACTGAGGTTTTTGCACTGAAATATCACAGTTTCAGATTTCATGGTTAATGTGTGTGTGTGTGTGTGTGTGCGTGTATGTGCATGTGTGTGTGTGTGTGTGTATGTGTGTATTTTTAAAGGAAACTTGCATTTTCAATAGTTGATCCTAAATTTCATAAACTGCACTTCCTTACTCTGGTAAAACTGATGTATTGTGCTTCTTGTGAATTGCTGTAGTTAACTTTGAATGTCAGATTTTATTTAGAAATACAAAATTGATTCTCAAGATATAAATGGTTGAGTGTGTGTACCTAGTATTTCAAATGAAATTTCACATGCTAAATTAATGACGGTAATGAGATTGTATAATATAGACAGAGTCAGTGACCAAATGCAGTAAATATTGGTTGCTCAAATAGGCCATGAGTAACTTAAAATTTTTCATTTACTTTCAATAGCATACAATTCCTCACTAAGGGGAGCTGACTTCTTTCCAGTCAAGCGCTACAGGATCATGTCTTGTGCCTCCATGAAAACAAAAACAAAACTTAAAAACGGTGTATGGAGAATAATTCACAATTGTGTTTTGGAAATACTCCTTTTGCCAAACTGTTTTCTTTATTTGGCTAATCTAATCCTAAAAGCAAAGAAAACAATACACAAGTGAAAGTGCTTTGAAATTAAATGAAAGCGGTGGTTTTGGAAGGTTGGTCTAAGGATGAGCAGTGGGGCGGCCTTTGTGTTACAGCTATAATGTTGGTGCTATAAAATTTTCTGATTGTTTACAGATGTTGATTCTGCTTATGCTCCAAACTGTGCATGATGTATTTTAAGTAGTACTTCAAAGAAGAAAAGCTTGTTATAAAACCTACTACCACTTAAATTTATTGACTATAAATTCAGTTTACTCAAATTTGGTTCATACAGGATTTAACCCAACTCATATCCCACCAAAGCCAGTTCAGTGTCCATACTGAAATTTATAGGCAGTCATTGTGGCTTGGTGCCACATCACATGTATGATCACAAATGAAGTTAACAGGGCCTTTTAATGCTGTATGGGTACTCTTAAGAATTATTTCATTTGGATATAAAGAAGTTAAGGGCCCTCCTGTCCTGTTCACATTAATTTCTCCAAAATAATTTGGCATTTCGAAAACAAATGATAATCATATGGTTGGATCCTTCAGGATTGTGAAGAGATCTTGTGGTTTTACTATTGTTGCCAAGTGGTGGGAGGTAGTGTACCTGAAAATGTATGTTTGTGTTTGTTGTATTTTTTCACATTTTGTGAACAAAGCACATTTATTAAAAATTTTAAATTTTCTAGTATTCTTCGTCTGTTACTTACATAGAGAGTTCTGTGGTCTTTGGTAGGCCGGTGTCTTACCGAGGGATTTCAGAATTGAAAAGCAGCTTAGAATTTGCGTGGCGACTTGTAAAATGTTCCAGCTGAGCCTCATCTTGTCGAATCTTCTAATAAATTCATAACTGGGATCCAGAGAGCACAAGTGATTTACCCTGTTATCATACGCTGTAGTGCTGCTCGTGGCAGAACTAGGAAAACAGTATCCACTCTTTTTCATCGTATAACTACGTGTAATTAACTCCAAGGAAATTGAAGAATGATAACAGATAATACAGTTAAATATATTTGTTCTCTTAGGGCAGCAGACAGTTTTCTTATAGTACGAGTTTTAATCCATTGAGCAAATGTTTTTATTAGTACACGTTTTGCAGTGCGGTGTTTACGTCCCTGTGCGGGGTTAGTACGCGTAAGGAACACATCTTCATTCCTCTCATCCGTTTCCTTTCCCTCCCTCCATCTCTTGCTCCCCTTCCCATTTGAGAAAGATCCCCCTACCTTCTGTTATCTTTAGCTTTACCTTCTGTTATCTTTAGCTATGTTCTTTATGTGTAATTTCATATACAAGAAACCATGTGATACTTAGTCTTGTATGTCTGACTTATTTCACTTAACACCACACTCACCCTTCCAATCAGATTTTTCCACCGTGTCCCCCACACTTCTGAACACATTGCTGTAGTGTTTCTGCGCAAGACATTAGCAGAATGTAGAGTACGAGCTGGGGTAGAGGCTGAGGATGTAGCTTAGTGGTAGAAAATATGTGTGGTACCTGCAGGTCCCTAAATTGAATCCCCAGCACCACCAAAAAAAAATTTTTATTTTTTTCTTAGCATCACCAAGTGTTAGATGATAAATGTAGAGAATAAATTCTATTACTAATAACAAGGAATGTTTCCATTCAATAATTGTATTATTTTTTATAAACTGAATTGCAGTGACTTCAATAATAATGATGAAAAAGTTCATATTCATGATCCACAGTCTGCACAAATCTCCCCAAGAATATAGTGTTGTCCTGCACTGCACAACACCCAGAGAACAAGCATGCTACCGTAACTGGTGATTTCATGGATCTTAAGGACCCCTAAGTGTTATAAAGGAGAAGGGCTGAATTTTCTAAACCCTATTTGTGTCTTACTAGAAGCATACAAACATCAATAATTGGAAAGTTTTATTAACCTTAAACATTGGCCCCAGTGTACGTTGCGTGCTGAGTGTTAGCTATGCCCTTGTTACTTTTTCAGCAGAGAAGAATACAAACATGGTCGTGGCCAGTATTAATTTAGTTCTACGTCAAACTCTTAATACTCCTCTGGATGAGAGTTCTGAGAGACAGGCTAAAACACCAAGAAATCATAAAGTCAGCAAAACTCCAATCATTTTATCCCAATTGCCGCAGGCCTTCTCAGCAGGAATCTAGTAATCCCTGGAAATAAAGTAGGTAAGGCAATGCAGAAAGAAGCTGGGAGGGTGAGAAAGCTAAATCCTTGAAGCCTGTCTCCAAAGGAAAAAAAAAATGATGCCTAGAAAACAGACCTTAGGCGGAGAGCAGGCCTGCTGGATTTTATATAGAGGAGCTTTATTGATTTTTTAATCAGTGTATGTTTGCATTATGTAATGAATGCATTCATCATAGAGAATTGATACATACGCACATCCCATCTTAATCCTCTTCTCTTCCCCTCCCCTTCCATCTCCCTCCGTTCTTATAGCTGCTTCACATTCTCACGAAGCCTGCCTCCCTGATTAGTATCACCTTTTATTTTGCTCATTAAATTACTTGTACTTTAGGTTTCCCATATAAGAAAACATGCCATATTAACCTTCCCTGTGATTTATTTCACGTAGCATTATGGTCATAAAGTGCACCCAGTTTCCTACAGATGACTCAAATTTATCCTCCTTTATGGCTGAGTAGTATTCCATTGTGTGTGTAGACTACATTTTATTTATCCATTGGGCCAGGTGTGGTGGTGCATACTTGTACTCCCAGAACTCTGGGAAGCCGAGGCAGGAGGATTGCAAGTTTGAGCCCAGGCTGGGTGACTAAGCAATTTAGCAAGACCATCTCAAGACAATACAACAAACTAAAAGTTTTAAAAGGTTGAAGGTATAGCTCAGTGTGAAGGTGCTGGCTGTAATCCCTAGTACCAACAGCAGCAACCAATCAAAGGGGCTTTATATTCTCTGGTCCCACTGATCCATTCATGCAGAAGACCAGGCTGCTGAGGAAACAGGAAGCCTGAAAACCTGGGGATTTCAAAGGTGGAAAATAAACTGTGAGAGGAAAGGGGGTGGTCTGGAGTTCATGGAATCACAGGTGTCAAAGGGCCTGGAGATGAGAAACAGGAGGTAAGATGCCACAAACCTCTTCAGGCTTACATAAACCTGGTTACACACTGAAGCAGTGACTCAGTTTTACATTTCAGAGTTCAAGCAAATCTGTTAAAACAAAATGAAAAGTGTTTTCCTCCCTAAAATTTCTCACGTGTAAGCGACATTTTAACATTGCCAGAGAACATATAAGTGCAGGTGCTATGGACAGAATAGCTAGTCATGTTAGGGATGTAGTTTGTGACAAATAAAGCAGAGTTGCCTCTATTACTTAATCAGCACTGATTCACTATGCAGTTGATCCTTAATTACTGCACTATTAGACTGGACTAAGAACGAGGAGGAATAGCCTGCTCTGTAGCATAAAGAAACAATACATCAGCATTAACAAAAGTCCGTGAATAAAAATTGCAACATCGTGTAAAACATTTTACATTGCAGTACCTGGCCGTGCATATCAATGAAATCTGCTTGCTTGACCTTCCTGACACACTGTTTAGAACTCGTCTACAATTTACTTCAATGTGGGAATCGCTGATGCAAGAGCAAATGTGAATGATGTGACCGGTCTCTACTTCTATCACTGTCTCCTTCATCTGCTCTATTAAAGTGCACACAAGGTCTTGCAGGAGAGTCTGACTCTGTAGGTATAGGTAATGCACAAGCACCTCCATCTTTAACCAGGGCTCGGGGGATCTGAGGCAGCACGTCTATGGCCACGATGTTGAGGGCACTGACTAGGAAAGCTGTAGCATACCACGTGGTAATAGTGTCACCTGTAGATGGGGGGTGGCTTTGGCAAAGTGCTGAGGGGAATTTTCCCTTTGCTCTGTGTAGTTTAAGTTGAATTGTGTGAGTTAGTACATTTTTAAGGTTCCTAAAACAACAAAGAAAGGAAAAAAAGATTAGGAGAGTGAGACAAAGGGAAGTGTTCTCAATTACTTAACAGATAAAATCTATGTGAATTCAAAGGCAGAAAATACTTTACTGTACGGTAGCAAGTAACCTCTTCTTGGAGGAAGTTGCATGTGAAATGAGCTTTGGAGGAAAAGCCAAGTGCAGAAAAAGTAAAACTATTCTAGGTTGAGGAATGAAATGAGCACACAGAGGAAATGAGAGCTCTCCATGTGGGAGCGTCTCTCTTGGATAGAGTTCAGGGTGCTGAATGCTCTTAAGAATTACAAGTATAGCCAGATGTGGCTCATGTCTGTAACCCCAGCACTCGGGAGGCTGAAGCAGGAGGATCCTTGTGAGTTCGAGACCAGCCTGGGCTACAAAGTGAGTTCACGGCCAGCCTGAACTGCATAGTGAGACCCTGTCTCAAAAAGACAAAAAAAAAAAAAAGAAGAAGAATTTTAAGTGCAGTAATAATTAAGGAAATACTTCTGGGTGGTCATCAATGCATGTTTAGGTTCAGATACAGTAAAGGAGCATAAAGAAGAGGACCAAAAATGGACTTTAGGGAAAATATATATTTAGGAGGAAGCAGGCTCAATTTTTTAAATAATTGGAGCAAATAAAGGAAAATTAAAAGATGTCAGATGGGAACTAAAATGTAGGTCATCCAAGCTAATGAAGAAAGGATGGTCAGCCACGTCGCCACATTCCCACTGTTCTTCCTGGTCCTGAGTTTGCAGGTAGGTTTAGTTCTGTGTTTTCCAGTGATGGTTCCGAGCATGGCATTTCCTCAGAATCATCTATGAGGAAGACTTACAACAACTCAGATCTGGAGGCAGCAGTGCTAGAAATTATCATTCAACAAACTTTGTATGGAGTATCAAAATCTGTATTTTAGTATCTCTCTTACAGTTTAGGAACTGGTAAGATACATTATTGGTTACAGTATGAAAGGAGAAGTAGTGAATGATTGGTTTCTTCCCGTGCTGTAATTCCTGCTGAGTTGCTATGGCACCCAGCCAACATGACGCTGGAGGTCATGTGGTATGGTGCTGAGTCACTATGGCGCCCAGCCAATATGGCACTGGCCGCTAGAGGCCATATGCTAAGCCCCACCTTTCTTCCACTGAGTCAGATTACGACTTCCTACTTCCCTTTTGGTAATATCCTGTTCTCTTTTCTCACACTCCCACCCAATCCTGGTCTGCCATGTCAGGCTGTCCAACTCCTAAACCCTGCCTCCAGCCTGGAGCTCTTTAACCTTGGACTGCACGAATGACCCTCAGAAGTTCCATGTCTCTCTTTCTCTCTCTTTCCTGTGGTCTTCTCTGCTCCCACAGTAAAGGCATTTTATTCTGCTTTACTTCTCTCTGCACTGGAAAAACCTATCATATCTGGTGCCATGACTCGGTGCAGGCTGTGTATCCTTACTAAGGGAGAGAGCTTTCTTTCCCTTGGTTTGAGCCCCCCTGCCAATGAACCTTTGTCCTTTGTCCAGATATTTGCTGTTGCCAGACTTCATCCAACACCGGCCCACTCCAATTCTCACAGGTGAGCCTCCTTCCGTTCCAGGAGTTCCTATTTCAGTTTTGTTCCTTTTCCAAAAACTGCAGGCCTACATCAGGACTGTCTTTCAGGACTACTGTGTCCTTTCCATCCTGCGGGATGCGCTTCTGCCTTCTTGATGATGATTGGGAGGGTGGATTTGGGCATTTTCTCCTCTCTCGCATCCTAGAAAGGGTGACGGGCCCTCTCAGGGATTTCAAGAACCAGCTGCTTCAGCCTCTGGCTCACCTTTGATTTGGCCACAGAATGGGGCACATTACTGCCCGCCCTCCAAAGCACACTCCGCTCAGTTGTCTCTTGTCTAATTTAAATACTTGGGACTAGGAGACGCTGTTAAACCAAAATGGTTAGGATGATACTTTTGATCTTAATATCCTTAGAGACCCAGATAATTATTGCTACAACAGCAAATGGAAGGAGTTGCCTTATATTTATGCCTTTATTGCTCTCAGGGTGTGTCCTTCTCCAGGCATGTGGGACTGCCTGACTGTTTGGCCCATTCCACACCGCCAGAATCTCCTCCTAAAGCCTCTCCTGACCCTCTTGACAGTGTTCCTCCTGCCTTTGCTCCCCCTTCACCTTATCTTCAGTCTCCTCGAGCTCTTTACCCTCTTCCTCTCAGCCCAATCCTAATCAGCCTCGTGGGCAAACCTGCTCGCCCCTGCCATGTCAGCCAGTGGCTCATGCCCATCTCTGAGCCTTCTCCATCTCCCAAACCCAGAGTTCACCTAGCCCCCACTTTCCATGCACTGTCCTCAGACCCTGCTCCTCCCTCCGCTCCTCCACCATCATCCCCACCCTCAGCCCCACGCACTGGGCCCCATGCTTGGTCTCATTCTCCTCCCTAACAATTAGTTGACAGGTCCCCATCCTCTCCAGATACAATGTCTATTTCATCTCAAGGTTCTTATTCCTCTTCTTCCCTTCCCATGTTGCCTTCCTTGCCTCCGGCCCACCACACCCAATCTAAGAGGGCTTATGGTAAAAAGTCACAAGATGGCGACTGCCAGCCACATGGCCATCGGCGACCATCTTGTGATGAACCACATGGTCACTGGCGACCATCTTGTTTTAAGTCCCATGGCCACCAGCGGCCATCTTGTCATGAGTTACATGCTCACCAGCAGCCATCTTGCTGCAGGCCACAAGACCACCCTCCGCCATCTTGCCCTGACTACACTTGCTCGCCACCACTACCCCCAGACTCTACTCACCCTTTACCACCCCCTAATTTGTCTCAATCTCAACATGTGTGCTCTCTTCGGGAATAAGCCAGCCCTGAAGGGCTAGTTCATATCCATGTTCCTTTTACCCTCTCTGACCTTTCACAAATTTCTAATAAATTGGGGGCTTTTGCAGCTGATCCCCACAGATATATTTCAGAGTTAGAATTTGTCACCAGTTCTTATGATTTGCATTATAAAGATCTTTTCACCATTCTCAACTCAACTCTTTCTCAGCAAAGAAAGGACAGATGAAAAGTCTTAATTTTTTCCAAATTCTTATAAGAGATCTCTAACTGACCCACAACAAATACAAGTAAGGTTCTGACTAGTCTTTATAATTACAAACTTAAAAAATTATAAAATTATTATAATTCAATTTGGCCAAAAGCATTTGAGTACACTCTGATTTTATAAGCAAATTTGTCTTGTTATATGTGTTCTTGTTTGTTTGCCTCTCTATCCAATCTGTAAACAGCTGTTTTATTTGAGCTCAACAAATTTTTCTTCCTTTATATTTTTTGATTTTTGAGACAATTGTCTGTAATCTAATTTGGCTTATACATAAATATTATCTATATTAAAGATTTGTTTCCACCAAGTTTCTGGCTGTTCGAAATTATGTTAAAATTGGTCTTACAAATGTCATGATATATTATACCTTGAGAGTCTCTCACTGTTCAAAAACTGATGTGTCAAATTATGATTGGCTTTTCATAGGACAGAAAAAAAGGGTTAAGATAATTAAATAAAAATCCCTTAGGGTGAAAAGAGATTGTTGGACAGGACTCCAATTGATCAATAAAAAACCATGGGGCTGGGGATTTAGCTCAGTGGCAAAGTGCCTGCCTGGCAAGCGCAAGGTCGTGAGTTTGGTTCCTGGTACGGGAGAAAAACCAAAAAAAAAAAAAAAAAAAAAAGAAAAAAAGCAGCAGCCTGAAATAACATTAACCAGTTTTTATTCATTAATAAGGAGCCCCAATAATCTCCATAGCCTTATGGGAGACATCTCAATAAATATTCTTCAAAATATATTATTGTGATATGTTTACACTAGCCATTCTCAGAAGGTCAAGTTTTCGAAAATAAGACATGAAGGTATTTTTGATTAAAAGATGTTATTGGTACAAAACTAAATTAAAAAACAAAATAATAATTCATTATTGTCAATTTCATGGTATATTAAATGCATTCATGCCTTCCAAATGTACAATATTCTAAAATGTAAAACTGGGATTGTTTATAAAAGTCATAGACATTTTCTTTCAGATTTAGACATCTGCGTTTCTTTTGTGCTCCACATACTTGTATTAAGAGACTCATGTCAGGCCAACGTGAGGTCATCATTTAAATGTTAACCTTTTAACAAAAACTTATGTGATGTACATGCTATGTATATGCCACTACCTTTAGAAATGCTTAGATATTAAACAACCCAGACAATGTTACAAATTTCTTAAATGACATCCTAAGGACAAGTTAGATAAAACTCTCCTTATGTATTAGATGGGGATGATGACTAAAAGGGTTATTCTACTGTGCTATAAAAATGTCATCATGCTTGTTATGTTACAATACTATGTATGATTTTGACTTCCAGTTTTCTTTGTAAAGCTATATAACTCTTGTCTGTTAACATTCCACAGGTGTTCAATTACTAGAACATCCATGATTGGTAAGAAGTAATAGTTCTCTGGCTGTACTTTATATTTCAAGGTGCTTAATATGCAAGTAAAATTTTAATAATTAAGTTCACTGCTCCCATTACAATATAATGTCATTAATCTTCTCTTCTGAATGTTCACCAACTGAGGTTTGGAGGCCAAATTAGAAAGACAGATGGGCTAAGAGGACAGCCAATATTTGTCCCTTGGCCTCTGAGGTCAGTAAAGACTCAGGACATAAGAGAACCTCTGCTGCAACATCATGTAACTCAGGTGGGTCCCTGATCTTCTGATCAAGGAGATGATGGGACCACAGAGGAAAATGATTCTATGGTGTATAGTGTGCCTAAGGAGAGTCACCAGGAGAAAAAGTCTCCCAAGCTTTCACAGAAAGCACCTTGGTCAAGCAATGGCTGTGACTCATCCAGATGGCTGACACTGACAGAAGTACTGAAAGGCACCGTACATGGTTCCAAGGTAAATCCTAAGGAGAATTAACTGACCTTGTGAGATAGCAAGAAGTGAATTTTAATTAATACAGGTCTCACTTGCCTAGAGACTACAAAACTCCAAGTAACTATAAAGATAAAACGGTGATAAATATGCTAGATTCCTGTTACTGAAAACCACCAGATCTTGTCTAAAGAGAGTGTTATATGATACATATCAAGGCCTTAAGTAACTATACTCAGCAGGCCTTAAATGAAACCATAGCTGATCTCTGTCCTAAATAAAAAAATAAAATTAATAAAACAGGCCATCCTTCAAAACCAAATTAATAGCCTTGCAGCACTCTCCAAAATCAACATGCCCTTGATGTCCTGACAGCTGAAAGAGGAGGTACCTGTGCTATGCTGGGAGAAGAATGTTGCTACTTTGTAAAGGAATCTGGGATTGTTATGGACAAGGTAAAAAATCTTCACACCTGGCTTGAGCATAAATGCCCAGAGATAAAAATCTACCTCTCTCCCTCTACACCATGGTCCCAGTGGAATGACACATTTAGGTCATGGGCACCTTTCTTGCTACCTCTTCTGGGCCCTATAATCATGATAATAACCTGTTTACTTGTAGGGCTCTGCATTTTTAAACTTTTGTCTAGTTTTACTCAATCCAGGCTTCTGCAGTTACAGCCAATGAACTCATCGCTCTAGTAGACATCCCCAGCACTGGCGTTCATGGAGGCAACACCCATTGTCCCCTCGTCCCCTATCATAGCTACTCCCCTGTTCAGCAGGAAGCAGTTTAAGAGGAGTCATCACCCCCTATAACCAAAAGAAGGGAATGATTGGTTTCTTGCCCCACTGTAATTCCTGCTGAGTTGCTATGGCACCCAGCCAACATGACGCTGGAGGTCATGTGTGATGCTGAGTCACTGTGGCATCCAGCCAATATGGCACTGGCCACTAGAGGCCCTGTGCTAAGCCCCACCTTTCTTCCACTGAGTCAGATTACGACTTCCTACTTCCCTTTTGGTAATATCCTGTTCCCTTTTCCCACACTCCCACCCAATCCTGGTCTGCCATGTCAGGCTGTCCGCCTCCTAATCCCCGCCTCCATCCTGGGACTATTTAACCTTGGACCGCACAAAAGACCCTCAGAAGTTCCACCTCTCTCTTTCCTTGTGGTCTTCTCTGCACCCACAATAAAGGCATTTTATTCTGCTTTACTTCTCTCTGCGCTGGAAAAACCTATCAGTGAATACTGAACACAAACACCTAAAAGTTGTTGCCCTATTCAATAAAAACTACTAACTCGGGATATATGTGAAAGTAATTTTTGGATAAGCCGCAGGGATACAGGTGGATATGCTCGCACCTTCCTGCAATCCCAGCACTGGGCAATCTGAGGCAGAAGGATCAAGAATTTGAGACCAGTTTGAGCTATAAAGAGAGTTCAAGGACAGCTTGGACTACAGAGGGCAGCAAAGGCGAACCTTTTAGAGCTTTCAATGACACAAACTGCCGGCTGCAGCACGGGGCACAGGTTCACCTCCACTGATATGGAGACCTTGTCTCAAAACAGGAAGAAGGAGCAGTGAGGAGAGGGAGGAGAACGTGTGGTCCGTGCCTGTAATCCCAGCACTCTGGGAGGCTGAAGCAGAAAGATCACAAATCTTTGAGCCTGCGCAATTTAAAAACTGGGTGAGACTCCATCTCAAAAAAACAAAAACAGGTGTGTGTGGGAGCGGTTCACAGTATAGCTCTATGTGGTTCAATCCCGGGTACTGCCAAAATAATAACAATAATAATAATAGTTGGGCTAAATTCCTTTACATGTAAATGTCAAATAATCATTTTCCTTTTTACAATAAGATGTAATACAGACAAAAGATACAGTGAGTATTCGTAGCTGTTGAGTTCTGAGCATTAGATGCTGATACGAAAAGGTGTAGGAAAAACTAAAAGAAGCCTAAGAGGTTCAATTATTCTAAATAAAAATGGCTATTGATTAAGAACTTTCTGACACTGCTCTACATACTTCACATATATTAACTCCTTCAACTCTTACAACACTGTGAATGAATACATTACTATCTCCATTTTACAGGTGGGTAATACAGAGCCAGCGTAGGTGGAATAAACTCATAGAGTCCAGTTCCAAGACCTGTCTTACCCTGTTCTGCTTGTCAAAATAAATAATGAATAAGAAGACATTTTTGATAGTACATGAATTATAGGTACATAGAAGATATGAAACAGAGTCTCAAAAATTCAACCTATAAATTAAAAACATGAAGTAACAGGAGGCACAAACATCTGAACCTAACCCTAAAATCTGGGTTGTTTTTTTTTCCTGAAGAGCTCCCCTGATTGAGTAGAGCTCGGGATATGGGGAGACAATCTGCATTTCTAACTAGTTCCCAGGTCATGTGGGCAACTTTTCTGAGGACATCTGGAAAATTCTACACTAAGGATAAGAAGAACTCAGTAGTCCTTGACCCTTGTTTACATTAGAATCACTAGACCAGGGAAGTGGGAACACTTGAATGCATACACACACGCACACACACACACACACACACACACACACAACACACACACACACTTCCAGATGCACCAGGCATAGTGGTGCACACCTGTAATCCCAGCATTCTGGGAGTTTGAGGCAGGAGGGGTTATAATTTGGGAGCCCAGCCTGGGGCTTCCAAAAGAAGGCTTGGGGACATATCTCTGAGCAAAGGCCCTCGGTTCAATCCCCAATACTGTTAAGAAAAAAAACACACAGAAAATTCTTTATGATTCTGAGCTGTAGCCAAGAGTCATCACTGTGAACCCTTCCCCAGTTACTGGGAAGGGCAGTGAGAGGGCAGTACCTGTGATACCCGCAGAGAGGTCGGCAGCTGACATTTAGAAAGCTGCACTCAAGGGCCCCTAGAGGATTAAGGCAAATGACTAAGGTTTAAGTGTCTGCTATTCTTATGAGAACCTGGAATAACCAGTTTCTGTGGACCTTGGTTACGTTATTGGTAAATGTCGATGAAAATATTTACACCATTGGATTTTTGTGAAGATGACATCATACAGGTGAAAGCACTTTGTAAATTCAAACTGTCACACAGTGTTACAAGGGAGACTGCCTATGGGGAACAGTTGTTACTTTAGACTCAGGCCTACACTGAAAAACTGAAAGAGGAATTGAAATAAGAATTAAAACAAGGCTGGGCCTGGTGGCGCACGCCTGTAATCCCAGCACTGGGGAGGCTGAGGCAGGAGGATTGCTGTGAGTTCCAGTCCAGCCTGGGCTACAAAGTGAGTTCAAGGCCAGCCTGAACTGCATAGTGAGACCCTGTCTCAAAAAGACAAAAAAGAAAACAAGAGCGTACACAGGAGGAGATGCTACGGGATTCGTCTGCAGCTCCTGGCTGCACAGGACTGGAATTTATGACAAGATCAGTCATTAACGAAGAATGCTGCCCTATGCTCCTTTCCTTGACTTTTTTTACTATCAGGGTTGTATTTTACACAGGTGTTTCTAGTCCTAACTAACTGGGTGCAACTCTTGGCCCAAAGCACACAGACTTTGCCTGCCCGGAAGCAGATGCTGAGAAGAGATGTTCTAGTGATCAGGATCATTACACTACCATCAGGAAGCACAGCCTCAAACCTCTCGTCATTGAAATGGTTCCCAGGTGACTTTTATAGCCTGGTGTTTGGCTATGCGCGTTGCAGATGTCAGGAACTGACCTTGACACTTCTAATTGCAAGACAAACAGCACTAGCAGAGGGGAAATTAGATCAAGCCGGGGGTGGGGAGGACCTCAGGTGCCAGGCTAAGGAATGTAGACTTTATTCTATCGCCTGTAGAAGTCACTGCTTGTCATCCCAGAAGTGACACAGAGTGGCACTCTGAGAACGTCAACCAGGCACCAGCGTAATGGGTTAGACTCGGACGAGGCTGATGTTGAGGTCACCAGCATGCGGGAGGTTACAGGAGTAATTTGGCCGTTAGGACCCCAGCCAGGGTAGAGGCAATGGAAGTTGACGGGAAATGACAAATGAAACAAAGTGAGTGAAAATGAACAGCGAGTCTCTCAAAATGAGCAGGCTCTCTTGGTGACTGAGGACAGCTCTCAGGAGCTCAAGCACTGCCTTTTGTTACTCGGCGGTACCCTGCAATGAAAGCAAGTCTCAGACCAAAAGCTACCACATAAAATATTTACCAGCTTTGCCACAAACAAGACTTTGTGGCAAAGTACTAGAGAGCAGCATACATGCCGGGAGCCACTCTGAAAGATCTCAGTGTGCTAGATTCAGCAGACCCTCCGAGCACATTCATGCCAAGGGAGGAGTGCCTGTGTAATATTCCAGGCAGCCGCATATCCTAAACAACTCTCATTTCCACCCCAAAAAATCCACTGGAATCCTTTATACTAATTAACATACCTCTGGTGCACATTTACATAGTGATGGTGAAAGCATTTGTACATCCAACTGTGTCAGTGAAGATTTCTAATTAGTGTCTTTCAAATGCTAATTATCCACCCCTGGAGTGCGCAGATTAACATTAACTTTCAAACATGTATACACATCTCACGGACATATCCTAAGTATACAGACAAGACCATAAGAATCAAAAATGATTTCAAAGTCGCAGGGCAGAAGATCCTGTCTGAGGAAGGTGGAGGAGCGCTGTTTTTTAAGTGAGGGGTCTTGCGCTAAGCAACTGAAAATAGCTGGAGCTGTTCTGCGCACACAGGAAATTTATTAGAGGACGTGAAGTAGCTCAAACGATTGCTGGAGACGGTTCAGACTTGGATCTACATGGCCTGAGACTACAGCAGTTAAAGAGTACAGTCTAAGGAGCTAAATGGAAAATCGCACAGGCTATAAAACTGATTAGGAGAGGGCTCCAGGGTTGCCCTGGCCGGGAGAGGCAGCCTGCGTCTCTGCACCACTAATACTGAACGCCAGATGCCTCCAGGAGAATCAGGCTCACTGCTGTCTGGGTGCTTACCTTGCGGTGCTCCAGCAGATGCCTAGGAGGCCCAGCTCTTTACATTTGCTCTTTTCCAGTCATTAGTTTTCAGGTAGTGCCCCTGATCAGCTGACCAAGTATTTGGCATTTCACCTTCAGCCACTAGAATCCTAAGGTGAGGGATTCCGCAAAAACACAGGAGCTTCAAATAGCAGGCATCAAAACAACAACAGCAACAACAACAAGAACACAACCTTGTGTCCATGAAAGGTTGAAATAAGAGTGACAGCAAAATACTCAGCAGGTAGTTGGAAATGGTAAACTAATACATATCCCTTAGAGAACCAGAGTTACAGATTTGGAGGTTGGCTGCTGATCGTTTTTTGGAATTACACTCAAAACTGTCACTTACACGTTGTGACGTGTGTTTTTAACCCTCTATATCTGTCACCCACACCAACGCCCAACGTTTATTAAATGAAATGAAATGCACCCTCTATTCAGGAAACAGGAAAAACAGAACACGAATATAAGAGAAGCACAGGAAACAGTAATTTTTGGAGGGTCTATTTTATACTACCAGTTTATTTTACAATTATTGACATCCAACCGTCAGGCACTGTGGTAAGCGGATTTAATGGTGAGCAAAACTCGACGTGGCTTTAACATTTGAGGAAAATGAGAGCTGGGGAGCGGGTGGGAATTCAAGCTGAGGATGAAAAGGGGTCAGACTATATAACTCATCAGCGCTTATTTGAGGATGGGGAGGGGATTGAACCCGACAGTTCACATATGCTAGGAAGGACTCCAGAGCTACACTTCCAATCGGTCTTTGAGGATTCTCAGAGGTTTATCCTAAGGGGATAACCTATCTAAAAGTTTTAAGGTATTTTTTTGTACATACATTATCTCACAAATCCACACAATTACCCTGCAAGGTAGGTGTTATTACCAATCACTTCTACATATGGTAGGAAAGCTATGAGCCGTAGAAAAGACGGTAGGAACAGCAAGAAACCAGGAAAAGGGAAGCACTCCGTGTAACATCCAGTTTCAGCAAAACAACCCTCCACCTCCTCTATCTGATCAGGTCCTTCCCGTTCTGCTACCCTCCAAGAGATGTTTTGGTCACTCTGGCCTTTCTTCAAAAAAGGATCCTACTAGGTCCCTGCAGCCAGAATTCCCTGCACGCCCATGTTTTCCTCTTGCTAGTTCTCCATCAACTGAGCCATGCCGCACTGCTGCTTCCTTGTAAAATCCCACCTATCTATGCGATCTCCCCCGCAAGGCCAAACGGGTTTGCACGGGCCCCTATTCTAACAGCGACCCTCGTAAATAAGACCCCTTTAACAGGCTGCAGTAAGTAAACATCACGGCCCGTTTAGCACTGTTTTATACCAGAGGAAAGGAAAGCTTCGCCGAATATGCACAACAACCTTGCACACATTTCACTGCTATTTTACAGATGAAGAAACCCAGATCGCAAGCAGGGTGGAAACCCCAAGACTGTCGGGCTCCACAGCTGCTATGAAATAGTAGTAACAAGACACCTAGGCGGGGAGCGCAGGGCGTGCCTCATTACGAGGCCAGGAGACAGGACTTCCAACGTGGGCCTGAGCGGGAGCTTCAGCGGTCGGCAGCGGCCACACATCATACACGTCTCGGAGCAGCAGGCGGCGGCAGTGTTTACGGTCCACGTGTAGCCGCCCCGCCCCGCAGCCCCAGTTTCAGGACAGACTGAGCAGGGCCCTAGGTGCGTGATGCGCCCGATCCCTGGTGGGCCCCGCTTCCAGCTCCATCGCTGATTGCAGGTCCTCCAGCCAAGACCTGCACCGCACGCGGGACACCCCGCACGCTCTCCGCGCCAGTCGCACCAGGGTCCGCCCTAGCAGCGCCGGGTTTGCGCAGAAAGGTCAAGCTGCAGGCAGGCCTCTTCGCGGTTTGACCCCGGCGGCGTTCCGTAGCGCGGAGGGGGCGGTGGCGGCGGCAGAAACATGGCGGCCGCGGCCCGGCGCGTCCACGAGAAAGTTTCTACGGAGAGCGGCTGGTGCTAGCGCGAGCGGCCTCGGGACGCCGTCCCCGCGGGCTCCACGCCTCCCCGCGCCGGTCGCAGGCTCCGCCCTGCAGGCCTCCGGTCGCCTTTGTACTTCGGGGGGCCTCGGAGCAAGTTGAGAGAAGTGGCCGCGGCCGGGTCAGGTGGGGGCCGCGGGGCGGACGGCGGGGCCGGGC